TACTTAGCTCCCTCCCCATCACAGCTCTCAGCCTGCTCTCTGGGAGTCTGATTCTGATTCACTTGTTAGTTTTACTCGATTATAGTTTATTACAGCCAGAGAATACGGGTTAAAATCATCCAAGGGAAGAGGTGCAGAGGGCAGAGGCAGGAAGGTGTCAGATGTGGAGCTCTCATTCGTCCTCCTTTGTGAGTAGAAGACAGCAGACGGTTACTTTCCCGGCAACAGTGTGGAAGGTGCACGTGGCCTGCTGCCAGCCGGGAAGCAACGCTGAGCCTTAGTGTCCGAGTTTCACTGGAGCCCTATCACTTAGTCATGGTTGCTGTGCCTGCGACTGACCGCAGTCTTGAGCCTCCCACAGAGGTCAGGCTAACACTGTATGACACAAACCACGTTGTTAGACTCAGTGTGACCCAGGGTCCCCAGGCGCTCCTATCAGGCACCACTTTCCAAGGGCTTCGAGATTACCTCCTAGAAGCCAAGGGAAAAGCCTGGTAACATTAATTTTTTTACTACACACATTGTAAAAGAATTTGGGGTAAGATTGAGAGGAGAATTTTTCTCCTGCCTAAACAATTCATTTATCCATTTATTAAATAAATATTTAATGATCACCTTCTGTGTGCCAGGTACTATTCTTTGTGATAGAGATATAGCAGTGAGCAAGACAAGCTCAGTCCCTTTCCTCCCTATAATAGAGTAAAAGAGAAAAAAATTAACTATATACTATGTTATACTCTTAAACTGAATACTTACACATTATTGGCACTCAATACATGTGTTATTAAGAGAATAGCAGGCCTCACTGTTTTCTGATCATTATTTTTATTATTAAGTCAGAGCCATTTACTCAATTTTATATCTCAAATCTGTTTTTAGATAAAGTAGTAAATCATATTTTAGAGTTCAGACTAGCATTCTAGTTTATGAATTCAGAAATCTTGATAGAGTAACATAGTCTAGATTATTTTAATTGGATGGTATTAAAATATAAGGGTTGGCAAAAGTAGGCTTGTTCATATGTTAAAAGATATGCAGGTTTTTTTGTTTGTTTTTAAATATGTCTTTATTGATTTCAGAGAGAGGACAGGAGAGGGAGAGATAGAAACATCAATGATGAGAAAGTCATTGACTGGCTGCCTCTTGCACGCCCCCTACTGGGGATCGAGCCCACAACCCGGGCATGTGCCCTGACCTGGAATCGGACTGGGAATTGAACCCAGATCTCCTGGATCAAAGGTTGATGCTCCACCACTGAGCCACGCCGACTGGGCAGCAGAATGTGATTATTAAAATAGCTTTATTAACTCAAAAGAATTTCACAATACAATTATAAACCTACTTTGCCCACCCCTTTTGTATTAATTATAACTTGAATAAAAGATTAATATAATTTCTCTTTTTTTTCTATAATTTTTTAAGGACAAATTCTTCCATATTCCAGCATCAGAAATCCTAACCAATGATTACCTTCAGGAAAGTATGGATATGATCATGAATATGCTCTGTCCTCTAGGAATAAAAATTGGTAAGCAATAATATTTTAGCAATCCCATTCATTCTTTTTTAAAAATTAGCACCTAGCATACATCTAATCTGTGGACTTCTAGAGGTATGAAACTTTGATTTGTGAATCCAAGTAAATTACTAAGTAGTGCTTGATTACTGTGTGATCTTTCTACCTTTTGGTGAAGACAGTGGCAAGGATAAATGGGTATGAGTCATAATTCCTGAAATGAAAAGATTTTTTTAATAGTTTTAAATATAATCAAAGGAGGCAGTTTTTATCATAAGCACATTTGATACTATGTTTATGCATGCAAACATTTTATTTGAAAGTATATGAACAGATGAAATTTTAATAAGAAACATTTTCTATAGCAAACTCCATTTAGCCAGTTTAATTAATTGATGAATTTTCTATTCAGTATTAACTAGTTTCAGATTTTACAGTTTTTTATTTTACTAAATTTTTTAGCAACTTTAGTTTTGTTTTGTTTATTAATGTTTTTATTTTTTAGAGAGAGAAGAAGGAAGAGGGAGGGAGGGAGGAAGGGAGGGGGGAGAGAGAGGGAGAGGGAGAGGGAGAGGGAGAGGGAGAGGGAGAGAGAGAAACCTTTATGAGAGAGAAACATCTATCAGCTGCCTCCTGCACGCTTCCTACTGGGGATCTGGGGATTGAGCCCACAACTTGAGCATGTGCCCTGACGGGGAATCAAATCGGCGACCTCTTGGTGCCTGGGACAACGCTCAACCAGCTGAGCCACACTGGCCGGGCAGCTTTAGTTGTTTTTGATTTAACATTTGATTCATCAACCAGATCTTCAGGTCAAATTGTATAGATTATACCTACTGCCACTGAGTTTTCCCCTGTGGCCATTATCTCTATTTACTTTGAAACATGCAGATCTAAATCATAGTAAGACAGCTTACCCTTGTAAAAAATTTTTCATCAGTAACAAATTTTACCAGCTGCAGGTTTAACTGTTAATTTAACTTTTATAGGTTATTTTTAATCAGGCTTTATTTTCCCCTGGTCAGTCTACACATTTTATAACAATTCTAAAAAGATAGTTTTTGTACATTTGTAACAAAGTTTAACTTACATACTTTTACTTTATGTCAGTTTTTAATTTCTGTTGGCTGTTTGGATTCTTTTGGATAGATTTCTGGAAATAAAATTGCCATATTAAAAAGCACAAGTGTGTCCAGCTGGTGTGGCTCAGTGGTTGAGCATCAGCCCATGAACTAAGAGGTTACCAGTTCGATTCTAGGTCAGGGCACATACTCAGGTTGTAGACTCTATCCCTGGTCGGGGTTGTGCAGGAGGCAGCCATTCGATGTTTCTCTCTCATTAGTGTTTCTCTCTATCCCTCTCTCTCTAAAATAAATAAAAATATATTTAAAACAAAACAAACAAAAAAACCCCACAGCTCTGGCAGACTTTTGATACATACTGCAAAATTGCTTTTCAAGAATATTTTACCTATTTATAGTGCCCGTCTTGCTTGACACTGGGCAGTATCGAAGGCTAGATTAAATGTCTTTCAAATTCAAATCTGAAGAAACATTCAGAAACTTTTCTAGATGTTATAAATAGATTCGCTGTGGTAATAACCAAAGCTTGGAAATGGCATCTGTGGCTGCCAACTTTGCCTTGACTGGATACTTGGTACCTGTAATTTCACCTTGACAAGTGTAAGGGGTTTAGCTGATTCAGACTTCAGGATCCATTAGTTTGCAGACAACCAAGAGAGAGAAAAATAAATAAATAAAACAGGTATGCCAGAGTTATTTAATTTTAATAGTTAAATAACATTTTCTTTTGGACTTACAGATACATATCCGTGGTTGGAATGCTTCATCAAGTCCTACAATGTCACAAGTGGAACGGAGCAGCAGATTTGCTATCAGATTTTTGACACCACAGTTGCAGATGATGTCATCTAATATTGACATTCCACGTAACATATGTAAAATATTGTAATTTTTGAAAACATTACTGTTTTCTATGAGATTGCTATAAAACATGCAAAAGACTTAGCTCAGTTGTTTATTTTTCATTTTAACCACTATTTAATTTTTTTTAAACAGACATTGTGTTATCTTAACCTCTTCTGAGTAAATTAAAAATGTTCCTGTTGCTCAGAAATACCCAGTATGATCGCTTCTAGGGTTATGAAAGAGAGAGACATTGAATGAAGAATGACTTTTCATGTACTCGCCGTAGTCCTCTTGGAGGAGCTATTTTCTTACCCTGCAGTAAAAATCATTTTCCCTGTTGGGTTGCCACTGATTTCCCTGCCATCCACCATCCCTGGTTGGGCTTTTCCTTGCCTAGAGTTTTATATCAGCAGTGTTGATGATTTTAGCCTGACTATGGGCTTAGAAGATATCCTTGCCTTAGAGCACTGAGTTTTGACTGAGTGCCAGGTATGTAGTGGGTAGTGATTTTGTTTTGTTTCAGTTTTGTACAAAGGGATCTGCTTAAACAAATACTCAAAGAAATGCTTGTTCGAGTGAGCAACAGTGTACTTTAAAGAGTGGTTTTACTGTAAGCAAAAGTGGTAGAATTGCTTTTCTTGGGTGCTGATATTGACTCATGTAGGATAAATCCATTTTTAGACCAGAATTATTGATTGCTTATTTCTCTACATGACATTGGAAGTCATTCCTTTTTCCATTCCACCTCAACTTAATAAAGTGCTCAGATTCACAGTGTTAGCGACTTACTGAGAATACCCTTTTTTAATAGTCTTATATAAAATATATTTCAGGTTGAACATTAAATGAGGTGTTAACTCAGTATATGGTCTACTTTTTACCCGACAGTTTGTCAGATTTAAAATCATGAATATTCGGTTTTATACAAATATGTCTATATATCTGTATGTATATGTAGATTTATGTATGTTATTTGCTAAAGACTTTTGCTACAGATTTGCTACAGATTTTTCTAGTTCAAAATGAATGAATGCACACAATTCAGCTGTTCCATTTGTCTGCCGCATTTGAGCTGAGGCATGATTTGAGGCAAAGAATCAAAGCAGGCATCTCAGTATACCGGATGTTTAGGACTATCTACACACCAGGTATGTGTGAGCACTTGAGTTTCACAACAACCCCTTTTTCCTGATGTGAAACTGAGGCTTGATTGATAAGCTGACCTGTCTAAGTTCACACAATGATTAAATGCCAGTCAGTACTCTGCTGAGGCTGCACTGTTCACCCCTCCAGGATTCTGGAGCAAAATCTATCAGGGGGTTTCCTGCAGACGAGCCCTGCCTTAAATATCTGAAACATTGGAGTAAGAGGAGTCAATGATGTGTTTTCTTACACTAACCAAGAGGCTTTTAACACCTTATTGGTAAAAAGGAATTGGATATCTGATTTCCTCTCAATTCTAGTTCCTGTGCATGTTAGCACAGACCAAACTACCCATCTTTTCTAATCACCAAATCACCAGCTTATTAGAGACAGTGAGAAAAGACTGATGCTATTTGGGGTATTTACGCTCGGTTCAGAACATATTCAAGGAAAACTTTTAAAACCCTGAAATTGAGCGGATGTGTTTCACTGTTCCTGGTGTGCTTGGGATACCAAGGGGGGAGAGTGTGTCTCTTCCTTCAGGACGCACCTGGCCTGGAAGAGGAGGGGCCGGAAGGTGCCACAGACTCAGCATCAGCCTGTGGGGTCTCCAAAGTAAGGAGGCGAACCCACGTGAATCTTCATGACGACAAGCTATTTCTCTCCCGGTTCCCTTTTTCTGTAAACCCCACATTGTCATCATTATTTTTTAACTTCAATTTCCAGCAAGAAGAGTTCCATCAACACTAGTGTTTATTCATTGGTGCTGTTTGTGCCTTAAGCTAATCAGGAGCCCAGGGGACTGGGAGAATTCTGTTTCTGGAGCAGTTGCTAGATGGTAGGTTATTGTGGCCAGGTTTGAGCCCTGTCCCCTGTATTGTCCCTGTGAGTCCTGGGAAAGTCTTCCTGTCGGGTGTAAAGTTACATGAAGCTAAGAAAGCACTGTGCGTGCAGCCCCTTCCTCGGTTCCCAGGCTGCAGGGCCTGTTCTGGACTCTCCTGGGTGCTTCTCACAGCCCTGCCCTGTTCTGTGTGGGCAGAGCACGCGTGTCCTAGAAAACCCGCGGCAGTCGATTCTTCTGGATCTAGACACGATCGTGAACTGTGTGCTGCTTGCAGCTCTTTCTGGGGCCACCCTCGTGACCCGGCCTTACCTGAGGAAACCGTACCTGTCCAGGTGCGGAGTGTCATTGCCCCCTCCCTTTTTTAACCCTTGGTCATGCTGTACATTGGGGATTATTTCTAAATGAAGACAGAAAAACTGGTGTCGGTGGAAGTGAAGAAGCTGAACACACCCCTGGCCACCTGAGAAAGCCATCTCCACGCCACGGGGCTCCGGCTGCCGTTTGCGACTCAGTGTAGCTCCTGTGCTGTAACTGCCTGCACACCTCAGGAATGGGCCAAAACCTTTCCCTGTCCACTTCCCCGCCAGCCGCCATTGTGTTTCCACAGTCACAGTCGAAGCATGAGTTTGACACTACTTATGACTCAACCCACCCAATTCTACACTTTCTAGAAGCTTTCCTTAGTATCTGGGGTAAAAAGCTAGATTCTTCTGATTATTTCAGTGGTTTGAATTTGACCATGCATTTCATCAAGTTTTTCTGTTATCCAGAATATATATATATATTTTTTTAACCCTTACCCAAGGATATGTGTTTTTATTGCTTTTCAGAGAGAGTAGAGAGAGGGTGGAGGGGAAAAAGGAGGACAGAGAGAAACATCGTTGTGAGAGAGAGACATCAATTGGTTGCCTCCTGCACGCACCCAGACCAGGGCCGGGGATCGAGCCTGCAACCAAGGTACATGCCTGTGACTGGAATCAAACCTGAGACCCTTCAGTTCGAGGGCTGGTGCTCTAACCACTGACCCAAACCGGCTAGGGCCCCAGAATATTTTCTTAATAAAAGTAAACATATTTACAAGAATTTGAAACTGCTGTTCTAACTAGTACCCCAGAGGAAACTACTTCCACAATTTGGTATATAGTTTTCCAGATTGTTTTTTATCATAAAAAAAAAAAATTAAAAATAGCATCACACTATAAATATATAAAAGTTTTCTCAACTTTTTATACATACGTGTAAATATATATATGTAGTGTGTGTGTGTAAAAATATGTTTTGATGAACAGAATAAATTCAGTGACATGGAAGCACAGATGAGACTGACAAATGTCAGAGGGATGGAGGAGGGCGAGTGGGTGGAGGGGGAGAGAGTAACCAAAGAATTTATGTGCATATATGCACAACCCAAGGACATGGACAATGGTGGGGAGAGGGACTGGAAAGGGGGAAGGGACGGGGTGGAACGGGTCTTTGAGGAGAAAAAGGGACATTTGTAATATTTTAAACAAAAATAAAATTTAAAAAATAAAAATTAAAAAAAAATAGAGAGGGGGCAGAGATAGAAAAATAGATGAGTCCATGACCAGCTGCCTCCTGCACGTGCAACCTGGGCATGTGCCCTGATCAGGAATCAGACTGTGATCTCCTGGGTCACAGGTTGAAGCTCAACCAGTGAGCCGTGCTGGCCAGGCTTTATATGTACTTTTTAAAAAAATGCATCGTGCTATAAATGTATTTCTGCAACTTGCTTTTGTCACTTGATAGAGTAGACATTTTTTAATGTCAGTTCACAGAGAGGGAGAAACTTCTCAGCATAAGCAACTTTTTAGTGGGGGATTCTCTGATTATTTTCTTTCTGTTTTGAGGTGTTTTTTGGTTTTTTATCTGTTTAAGCGTTCTATTATTGTGCCAGTACACTTTTGTAAGGATGTATTCTTGTACCTCTTCTGTTAACTTTATTACCTTATAGTTATTCATTGTATTATTATTGTTATTTTAGTCTGTATTTTATCTGGTGTTATTTTCCCTTTAAATAAACCTGGAGCCCCTGGGATCTAGGTTCACGGTATTTCTGGAGGTAATCAGAATTTTGAAAGCCTGTCCAGACTTCCTAATACAGATTAGAATTCTGCCATTGCATAGTTATCTTGAAATATCCTTTCATACTTTAAAGTCCTCGTTGTGAAAAGAATTATGTTAATGTAAGAAAGGAAACCGCCTTCTGTAATACTTTTCATTGTGAAATTCGGGCTCTGCAAAGGCCATGATGTCACACTGAAGTTCTAGAGCATCATTTTCGGAGAAGTAAAAATACCTCTTCCTGTGCCATCCCCTCGGGGTCTCTGGGCAGTGTTAACGTGTCCTGCCCACTCCAGGGAAATGGAGAACGTGGCAACTAGTAAACTCTGGGCACAGTGATCTCTTCCCTCTGGTATTGGAAATAGTGCGGGAACTCTGAGCAGGAAGGCCCCGGCGCTCCGGTGTGTGGGACTATGGTCTTCAGGCAGCAGGAAATGAATCAGTAGCACCGTGGATTATTTTTCCCTGCAACATTGTCATTGAAGCTGTCAGGAAATTCGAGATCACTTGCGGTTGCAAAGTGGTGATCATCTTGCAGGGAGATTAATGCCCCTTCCATTCAGGTCTGCATTTGATGGGTTGGGGAGAGTGAGGCATCAGTTACATGACAAGGGTAATGCATCAGTGTACGCGGGGGCCTCCCTCAGACGCGCCGGTGGTGAAGCACGGGTCCTGCAGAAACTCCTCTGCGACTTTTAGACAATAGCAACATCTTGATGTGTCTCTTTTTCCCATTGAAATCTAGGCCACAAAGTCACTTTGGTGGTGTGTGTGGTGGAGGGGTGGGGGACGGCGCTTACTTTTATCCTCTGCTTTGAGTTACCTTGCAGGGCTGCTGTACTGTAATTTACTTGACAACCTAGTCCACAGCTGCCAAAGAAAGACATTTTTAACTTGGGTGAAAAGGGTTTTTATTTCATCTGTTTGTTCACAGTATTTTGAAGATTTGGAGTATGTGTTAATTGAAAATCTATTTATCACCTGTTCATAAAATATTCCATCTAATATTTTTGTCATTTCTAAACAAGTGCCTTCTCAAGTACTACCTCCTTTTTTTCTATACCTTTAGAATGGTTTTTCCCTTTGAAACACGGACTCCCCAGCAAGAGCCAGTTTGTCATTGCTCACAACTAGTCCTCAACAGATTTTTGCCCTCCAGTGGGGGGCAAAGTCTTTCTAGAATTTAAAATCTCTTGCCTAGTTTAACGACCTCTTAAGTGACTTTCTGTCCCAAGCTTTGTAACAGTTAATAGGAAAGGTAACACATTTTTAAAAAATCAGAGTTATCAACTTGTGGAGTCAGATGAAAACAGAGCTTGCATTAGATGGGCGCCGTTGTGGTTTTATTTTATTGGATAGGAAATTCTATGTGCTTAGTCCCCATTAGATAACGTTCTAGAACGATACACTTGTTCTTAAATTGTGGAATAATTGACAAATATTTCTGTGCTATGATCAGAGCTTAAATGGAGATTAAGATAATACAGATAATACAGAGTACAAAATTGGTATTTAAAAGTCTGCTTATACATTTGCATTCATTTACTATTCATACAGTGTCTCTCCAAAAAGGATTTATTTGATGTGGTTTACAATAAAAGCCACAGATAAGACCAGCCTTTAGAAATAGGGCAAGAAGACAGGAGCTAAATAAAGAAAAGTGTTAAAACAATTCAACATTCCTAACCTATGGGATGCTACAGGTTTTGAAAAAAACTTAGTATGCATGAAACTGCAAGTTTCCATTGCTGTTATTAAATAACAAAAGTCATGTGTTGTAGAGGATGCAAGCC